CTCTGTCAAATAAATAAAATCTTTAAAAAAAGTTAAAATTAAAAAATTTTAAAAATAAAAATATTATTTTTCCCAAAAGTCTTATTTTGACATGATATTCTATATGAAATCTTCTCTGGCCCACTCTCTGCCAGCCAGACCTGGAGTAGTAAATGCAGCCTTCCTTCCTGCCCAGAGCTTCAAGGTACTGTGACTTCTCAAGCACAGAACCATGATGTCAACCAATTCCATCACCACATCCCCTAATGTCTCTACCTCCCTCCTATCTTGTCCCTTGAGGAAAGTTAAAACATGCTCACATGGTTCTTGTTTTAACCACTCTATCTCACCAATCCTTCATTTTTTCTATCCAAATAGTCCTACAATGTACAGCTGTAGGTAGGTAACTCTCAAGCCATCTTTAGTCCAATGCAGGACATGGCTGATAAATTACTGCAGGAAAATCAACATCAGTCTGAATGTCACTAAATCTGGTCTGACATACACAACTTCACTCACACTCTGGAGTATCACTTGCTAAGAGAGCAGGAGTGTCACCTTCCAGGAGCTTCTGCAATTCACCTGCCACATTGGCACTCTTGATTCGCAGTCCTCAAGGACAAACTTAACTTTTAACTGCAAATCTTCATTTCTAATGAGGCACAGTTCTATTTTTTTCAAATTCAACCCTTTAAAAGTAGAGTTCACAAGACAGCAACGTATCAAGCCATTCGCAATTTGGCTAGTGCAATGATGGTTTATGCATCTTCATTTGCAGGTGGGATTCCAAGAAGGCAGCTGAAGCTCACCATCCCTCGAAATTCTCACAGCTGTCCCCTTGCTCGTGCTTGATGTTCACTTCCCTTCTCCTTGGCACAGCATTTGCTGGGGCCCACTATTGAGCTTCTATTTCTTAATCCTATTGAGTCCTGCAGACTTGAGCCAGACAGACTCTTTCTGCCTTCTTAATTTCTCTACTGACCCATCTCATCTATGTTCTCTACATTCATTTCCTCTGAATGCTCTGCCCTCTCTCACCATTCTACATGCCTACAATGTAAAGGAAACACACGCTGAGAAGTTCCGGTCTGCACTCTGATAGCACCAGTATGGGATCCCAGCCCTTCAGCTGACATTCTCCCCTTGGAGGCTCTTATAGCATCCACAGAGAACAGAGCCATCACTCCTGAACATCCCCTTACTACTCGCTGAGGTGGTTCAGAGGCCCCGGCTTGGATGAGCTTACCAGCTATTACCCACCCAAGACATCATCCCTGCAATCAACAGTCCTTGGCAGTGTATGAACCAATGGCCAGTAGGATTCTTGATGCTCTGATGGTCAACGATACAGAGGGACCTTCCGGGGCAATAAAAACTAAAGTTGTAAGTTAATTCCTCAGCCACACAGTCATACATCACACACACAACAGACCTCTGTGGCTACTATTCATGGTGAACAGTACAGCTCTAAAACATGCCCATCGTCACAGCACGTTCTACTGTAACAGCACTGATGTAGTTTACGAGAGCATGCTAAACTAACATCATACCATTCTGAATAATACAAGTCAGCCAAGAAATAAACCTCGATCCCGCATTTATCAGTATGTCCTTGGAGACTGAGCAGAATGTAAGCACATATAAAATAACACAACAGTTTGGAAGTGGCCTTGTGGAAAAGCGGTTTCAATTTCCAGACTCCAGCTTATCATCCAACTATTGCTCACTGCTTCCTGTCCCCTTCTGTCCCAGAAGGTTCTTTTAAAATCTACTACCATTTTCTTTGCATAGAGTCAGGTAAGTTTTTTCAATCCTAAAAGTTTAAATGAAGAAAAAAGCCAATGTTAGCACAAGGAACAATCATTTGTGGCCCTTTTCATAACTCACTGGGGATTAAAGTCATACGAGTTTGTCTCAAATCATTTATTACGATCCTCCTCAGACACAATGATGTTACTGACAAAACACACCGATTAGATCAGGCTACTATATTCTCCTTACCACGGGGCTTCTTACCCAGCAAATGTACCGGTTTGAGAATGGAGTTTTTAAAAGTGAAAATTAAAATCATCCTATGTAATACTTGTAACAGCCGACATTCCCCGTGCCCCCCACCCCCCCCAGCAATTTGTCTTGGTAAACATTCTTCAAAGCTAACATTCCTGGAAGCATGATGTAATTTGTAGATGAGACATCCTGTATGCTCGAGCAGCAGCTATGCTCCTGGATTTAATGGCCTCCAAGAGTCATTTAAACTGAGCTGTTTGCTTCCATTTCCCCTTCCTCTTCCCCTCTTCTGGAAGTACATCATTACCCTTACCTTATATAGCAGAAATATTCAAGGTGTGCGAATTGCTTGGCAGAGTCTAAGTTTCTGTTCCAGTTTCAGTGGTAGTACCTCGTCCGAAGAGATTGGGCAGACACCACTGGCTTGGAGCCAGGCTACGGGCAGCACAGCCAACGGCCGCTGACGGTCGTGCTTGCTCCTCACCTTGCTTTATTCTTCATGACTCGCCCCCCACCGCTGTCACTGTCCTGCCCGTGCCTGCCAAATGTGCCAACAACACTCCACCGGCCTCCAGCAAGACCCCTGTGCCGCGAAGCTCCAGGCCTGGCCCCCCTCACTACTAAACTCACCCTGGGCATCATCTCGGTCTTCCCCCCTTTCACATCAGCCTGAGCACTCCTCTACCACCGCTAATACCACGCCCCTCCCGGCAACACCTAGCACCTAGCTCTGCGCCGGGGCTTTCCACTCAGCCCCAGAGGTCTGCACAGACCGCCCAGGGGCCACAGGAGACATCAGCTGATGGCCCAGGTTATGTATGTCCTCCAGCCTCCAACAGCTTCCTCAGGCTCAAACTCAAAGGGGAACTCTAGGGTCCAGATTAGCCCTCAAGAACCAGCAAGTGGCCAGGAAGACCTGGGGACATGCCCTAGGAAGATGTGAACTAGAATCTGTAGGCAGATGAGCATGTCCAGTCCCGGGGAAAAACTACCTTCACTGTGCCATGGGATGTCCTGGTGCCCAGACAACGTCTGGTCCTTCCGCAGGCTCGTCGGCTCAGCTCCAAGGGCCCCGCAACTGGGCATCAAAATGGGACGGTGGTAAGCCTGGGGTTCCAGGGCCAGGCAGAATGGAGTTAGGAGTCTCAGTCCCACCACAGGCTGTCTGCCAGGGGCCTCAGTCACTTCACCTGAAACCGAAGCTGGTGCCTACCTCAGAGAAGTTACGAGGTAACTAACACAGGACCAGTCCCAAGCCAGAGTCCGGCTCAGAGCTCAACTGCTCAGGCAAAGCCTTCATTGCTTTGTCTTGGTGTGTTTTTCAAAGGATTATAAGTGGAGCCTCAACCCCTGAACTCAAAGTATTGTAACTGCTGCGGCAACAAAAACGTATCTGCATCGGTTTCGAAAACTAGACAAAGCTCCCAGGAAGGAAGGTTTTATTTTAAAATTTATTTTCTTCTGGTCCTCTCTATACCCAGGACTGGCATACTCTTAGGAGTACAGGGGAAAGCGCTATTTTGGAACATACCCGAATCTAGACTGTCCCGGTCTTCGTGGTCATTCGGTTGAACCACCAGGTTTTCCACACACTGGAAAAGATAAGGTCAGGCAGGGTTTTGACAAAAATTACTCATGTGCCCCAATTCTGTTGATTTTTATCAACTCAGAAAAAACCACCTCAGAAACTATCAGTGAAGACATGTTACATGTCTCGCCGCACATCAACAAAACTAGTCTTGTACTTACTTAGTGTTATTCAGGAGCTACAGAAAGGGAAGGACCCACCCCACGCGGAAGCCCTCCCTAGGTCCTTTCTTCCCAGGACGTCTCCCGAGCGTACTCTTGCAGTCACATTGCTGGCAAACATTTGTAGCTACCCATCTTTAAGGAAAAACTTGGTTTTGGAAAATGTATATAATCGTCTTGAATATACAACTGCAACCCAGAAAGACAGCCAGCTTTGGTCATGAAGAGTAGAGACTGAAAATGCAATAAAGCCAACTGAATTTCAAGTTATTCTGAATGTGACATGGGGTACACATGGAGGTTTGTTTTTGTTTTTTTGGGGGGGGGATAAATTTGTTATTACCACTAGATCTTCACTTCTACTTCAGCTCTGGGGAAAAGTGCAAAAAAGAAAGAGGGGCAAAGAATCATTACCTTTACATCCTCCTTTTCAGGTGACGATCTGCTGGTCACCAAATTCTTAATCTCTGCAAAAGGAATGATCCTCATCAGGATCTGCTGATAGGAGCTTTCATTAAAAAAAAAAAGGGAAGGGAAGGGAAGGGAGGAAGGAAGGAAGGAAGGAAGGAAGGAAGGAAGGAAGGAAGGAAGAAAGCAAGCAAGCCCAAAAAGCAGGCAACAAATATAAATGAATTGCCCCAGGAGCTGTCTGTGTGGAGCTAGCCTAGATTAGGCTTCTTAAAAATCAACTGTCCACAGAGTATGTGATGGTCCAACTGCCACACTCTGGTAATATTTGTGTGGACCAAGAGGTAAACAAGCCCAGGACCTCTTGCAGGAAATCCTGAGGAAAAAAAAAACCATCATTAAATCAACAAATGCCCCTGATTCAGAAGGCAGGCTGCTCACAGAACGAAGGCTCTTCAAAATAGCCGAGATTCTAAGGACATGACTAGTACCTACCTAAGGATATCCCACATGTCTAGTTCCTTAAATACCACAGATTTCATGTTTCAAAAGCGCGTAATTCATTCCAGATGAGGTTCTGCCTTTCCTTGGGCATCCTTGAAAGTCCGTAACACCAGCACAACCCTTGGGCTCCCACCACAGATGGTGCCAGGCTGAGCATGGACAGGCCCCAGGCACGCCAGGTACCCTTTTTCTGAATAAACCTTTCCTGGAAATATTAGTGGTCAGGATGTTCTAAGTTAAACATTTAAGGGGTATTTTCCTCTGGGTCTTGACTGGTTCTCCTCCCACTCAGTTGCCCGTAAACAAGAGCCACTATTGTTAATATATAACCACCAAAAGCAGACTTGGGCCTGGGGAAAATAAGCGCTGGACACTCCTAGCAAGGGCAGGTAGTTAAGAAACTTTAGCAACAATGTTAGGAATATACACTATTGTGGGCCCAAGGCCTCCTCTGGACTCCCTCAGCTGCCCTGCCTGATGCCGATTCTGGGGAAACCCCACTAGTTTACCTAGACAGTCCCCGCTCCACTTTGCCAGCCCATTAACTGAAGTCACCGGAGGCTTCACACCTCCAGGTGGATTTATTCAAGCTCCTCTTATTGCCAGGCACGGAAGCTAGGAGGTTCATTCATGTTCTGGCTTAGAAAAAGTATAAGGTACTTTCCTGACAAATCAGAGTAAGGCAAGGATAGAGCAGAGAAGTCAACTTCCTCACTGTCCTGATGGGCTTTTTAAAATATGCGTAATAGAAACTTTGCATTTACTAACAATTAATGAGATATTTATACTCCACAGTAGTTTAGTCTCTTGAATCCATAATCCTTCTTAGCCCCATAGTTTAAAATGAAACGATAATACCTTCAGTTTTACGTGGTCATGTCAACTGACATCAACAGGGATCAAGGACACGCGGACACCGAGCCTGGGCGGCTTTTGCTCTCGGGCACCCCCCAACCTACCTTTAAATGCACACCCCACACAGGGCCTCCAGGTGGCAGCACAGTAACGTCTGCACAACAACACGGTCGGCCCTAGGAATGCCAAGGTGAACCGGCTTCGCCCTTCAAAAGCTGGCTGCTCAAGTGCCCAAATTCAAAACCCTAACATAAAGCTTTCTGCCCCAGTGCACAGATGCAGAAAGTGATGGGAAGCACCTATAGAAAATACGATGGATTTTGTTTTGAAACACACAAGCCCAGACTCTAAAAGTTGGCTAGGTGGGGGAAAGAGCACCATTTGCTGAAGAAAGGGAGGGTAACGAGAACCCAAGTTTCAATAGACACGTCTGCCTAGATATCAAGAGAGTCGCACACGTTTTTATTTTGTTATTATAAAATATTCCTTTAAAACTGTTTCAGACCGTATGCTCTTGAATTTAGGATTCTGCATTTCTAAAGAATTATGTACCTAGGGTGGTTGATGAAAAGGAATAGCACGCATTTTGTTCAAGATCATACTAATGCAGAAGGCCACAGCATCTGAGAAAACCCAGCTTGCAGTAACAGAAGCTGGGTCATCATGGTAAGTGTGTTCAGATTCCAGCTTCCTGCCACTCTCAAAATTTTACTGTTTGCACACTGTCAGCCTACAGTTTTCCTTATTATCTACTGCATTTTTCTTTTGTTTCGGGTATAATCTAATTAATGCCACTACCACAAACTTTATTAAAAGAGACAAGTGTTGGGCGCCTGGGTGGCTCAGTTGGTTAAGCGACTGCCTTC